CTGGAAATGGGTCCGGGAGCGGTCAGTGGGTCAGAACCCTGTCCGTGGGAGTCCGGGACCGGCCACAGGGGCTGCCCAGGAGGGTCCGGACACGTGGAGTGATCGTCCCGGCGTGGGGGGTCTACCCCGCGGCCCCGGGCGGGGGTTTGTTCCCGTGGCGTTCCCGATCCTGTCCCCGTGTTTTTTGGGGTCCAGGCGCGGGGGGGTTTGTTCCCGTGGCGTTCCCGATCCCGTCCCCGTGTTTTTTGGGGTCCAGGCTCGGGGGTCCGGGGAGGGGGGGGGAAGTTGTTCCCGTGGCGTTCCCCGCCCTGCTCCGGGATCCCCCCGCGGGCTCCAGGGCGGTGTCCCCACGCCGGGCTGAGTCACCACCCGGCAGCGAAGCAGCGCTTGTTGCATCAGAAAACCCGTTCGTGCCGTCCCGCGGGGGCTCCCACGCCAAACTCTTCCCTCCCTCTTCCCTCCTTCTTCCCTCCCTGTCAGCGCCATGGAGGAGGAGGATCCCCCCGGGGACTCCCACGCAAACCTCCTCCCTCCCTCCCTGTCCCTCTCAGCGCCACGGAGGAGGATCCCCCCAGGGGCACCCTCTGAGGTCCCGCGGGGACTCCCACGCCAAACTCATCCCTCCCTCTCTCTTCCTTCCCTCTTAGCACCATGGAGGAGGAGGATCCCCCCGGGGACTCCCACGCAAACCCCCTCCCTCCCTCTCCCTCTCAGCGCCACGGAGGAGGATCCCCCGGGGGCACCCTCTGAGGTCCCGCGGGGACTCCCACGCCAAACTCATCCCTCCCTCTTCCCTCCCTCTTTCCTCCCTTCTCCCTCGCAGCGCCGTGGAGGAAGGTCCCCCCGGGGGCGCCCCGCGCGGTCCCGCGGGGACTCCCACGCCAAACTCGTCCCTCCCTCTTTCCTCCCTCCCTCTCCCTCTTATCGCCACGGAGGAGGATCCCCCGGGGGCTCCCACGCAAACCTCAATCCCACCCTCCCTCTCCCTCTTAGCACCATGGAGGACGATCCCTCGGGGGCTCCCACGCCAAACTCATCCTTCCCTCTCCCTCTCCCTCTCCCTCTCCCTCTCAGCATCACGGAGGAGGAGGATGATCCCCCCGGGGACTCCCACGCAGACCTCAATCCCTCCCTCCCTCTCCCTCTCAGCACCACGGAGGAGGAGGAGGATCCCCCCGGGGGCGCCCCGAGCGCGCTGAAGGAGGAGCTGCAGTGCCCCATCTGCCTCGAGCCGTTCCGCGAGGCCGTCACGCTGCGCTGCGGCCACAACTTCTGCCGGGGCTGCGTGCGGCGCTCGTGGGAGCAGCAGGACCATCATCATCATCATCATCAGGAGCAGCAGCAGCAGCAGCAGCAGCGGCGGCCCCGCTCCTGCCCCCTCTGCAAGGAGGCCGCGGGCCGCCACGAGCCCCGCGTCAACCACACGCTCAGCAACCTGGTGGAGATGCTGCTGCGGGACGCGGGGGGCTCCGGGGGGCCCGGGGGGCTCGGGGGGGCGGCGGCGGCCACGCTGTGCCCGCTGCACGGCGAGGAGGTGAAGTTCTTCTGCCTGCAGGACAAGGAGCTCACCTGCTGCTCCTGCCACGGCGCCCGCGGCCAGCACGAAGGGCACAGGGGGCGGCCCCTGAGGGAGGCGGCGGCTGATTGTAGGGTGAGGAGTTTGGGGTGGGTTTGGGGTGAAATGGAGGGTGGATCCCCGCGGGAATGTCCCCACTGACAGGGGGCTTTCGGGGGTTGCAGGGGGA